CAGACATCCACCTGGGCGAAAATTCCGTGCGCTGCAACCGCTTCTCCTGGAGTGGAGGTGGAAGAAGGGAAGAGAAGAAAGACATGGATTGGAACACACCACTAATGTTGGTAGGGGAATTTTTGTATTAGAAGTGACCAGGCAGCTACTATGAGCTTTATAAGGGAAGCATCATACAGACCTCTCAAAAGCTCAGAATGGCTATGGAGTTGAGTTCAGAGAGATGTTCTCAGGAAGTTCAGACTCCAAATTTGTCCCACCTCAAGATAGTTATCTGATGGACAGCACTCTTCAGAGTCCAGCTACCCACCTCTAGCCACCACTCCATCACCAAAATTCCTTCTTCCTGTACACAAAGCTTAATAGCTCCTGTTTACATGGTCCCTAGAAAGCACTTTGAGCAGTACGGGATCCCTAAGTGTCTCTGCTGCAGGAGCTAAGACATCCTTCCCTATTCCCAGGGGCGTTCCATTGCTGTACGGAGTTAGCCCTCTCCCAGCTGTCCTGCATCTCAGCACTCAAAAGCAGTCACTATACAGAGAATAAGCAGGCTGTCACCTCCACACCCTTATGCGCTCACACCCACCTTCTGGGCAATCATGTTGCAAATCTCAGGCAGGAAGTCTTCACTCAGGAGTTTGTAGAGCTGCCGTTCTCTTAGGGAGGTTCTCTCTCTGAAGCTCTCTGTGACCTGCCTCCACTCCTCTTCTGTCTGACACAGCAGCCACCATGTCCCACGGCCTGGCCCCTGGGACCCTGCAAGAACATACAGGGATATTCTCTCTGCAATAAGTATTGTTGATGGCTTCCCTTTGACCCATGCCCTCTCTTCCTGAACCAGGGAAGACAGACAGACCTTGTCTGTGTACACACCCCTAGGAGACATAGTTCATGGTCTAGGAAAAAGCAAGAAGAATCGTTCGTGTACGTAACAGGAAGACCTGCATAGCTATGGCTTCACTCAAAGCTCTCTCAAGAGCATTAACATGACCCCTAGCGCAAGTAATACACACTCCAGAGCACTGTACGCTGGGATGGGAAGTAAAAATGATGGCAGCACTTGGAATATTTTGGATGAAATGCCATTATCTTAATCCACCCTAAAACCACAATCACGACTATCCAGCAGCTCCTGGGAGGAAAGGTCAAGGAGGAAAAGGGAGGACTGATCTCCTTGGCTGTAATTTATTTCTCACAATGGAGGGTATCAGCTAGGTCTGGACACTACTCATGGGTTACAGCTGCTCTGACTCCCCCTGCTGGACTGCTGCAGCACAGCACTTTGACTCAGGAGATCACTTTTAAAGCTGAAACTAAACAAACCAGTAGAAAACATCCATCCTATGAACCTACCACATTTCTATTTATGTGGGGTTTCAGCTTTGGAAGTTCTCTCTTGAAGGCTGAGGATGGAATTGCAGCAGTCCAGAGGAAAGCTGAACTCTGAAAAAGGGGTAGAAGAAACCAAACCAGACTTGCCTCCATCTTGGTGGAGTGGGAAGGGCTAACCCATAACAAATACCCAGACCAGCAGATTCTCATGTGTGAGAAATGAGTCTCCCACCCAGGCCCTTTGGAGAAACTAACACATTATGTTGGCATTTCTCCTCTCCTATTATTAACTACTTGTGGGTCAAGGCCTCCTGAGGAAGGACCTGGAATACAGATTTCCCTAATTCCTGATTTCCCTAATTTCTGCTTTACATCGTACTGATCATGTATACCACCTGACACTAGATGGGAGATAGGCAAGAAGGCTCCATTGTTCTCCTACAGTGCTACCCACCTTCATGCCTCTCTCCCTTTCACAGAGAGGGCAAAATGCACCTATCACAAACAGGATGTGTTTCCACATAGCCTGTGCTCACCCCTTCTCAGGAGAGTATCTGTCCATACATCGTCCATTTCTACTGATCTTAGTGAGTGAGTAGAGAAGAGTTCCTTCCCAAGCTTATTCCAAACTCAGGCCTCCCTGACAATAACCTAATTCATTAGTCACTCTTCATCCCAAAATAGCGCATTGCAATACAGGAAACATTTAGCTGTCTAGGCTCCTGGGAATAAGTTAGACCACTTCTTTTAATTGCTTGTGCCAAATACAATCAGAACCAACCAAGCTAAAGACACAGGGCACTGCTTCCAGAGAGCCTCTCACTATCGAGGCCCTCCTCCTTCCCGGGGAATCTTGTCTCTCTCAACTTTGGATGGTTTTAAAATTGCAATTGCAGATCATATTCCTTCCACCCTCCCAAAACGTCTTTACCATTTTTCATCTGTGTCTCATGCACGAGCGAGTTCTCTTCAGCCTTTTCCCTATAAAGAAGAAGGCAATTTATACACACAGGTAAAAACATACACAAACTATTTCATCAGCCATTGAATTGCAGCCACTTCTGGGGAGGAATGCAACAGCTGTTTAATGCACAGCATACAAATTTTATACAGGAAGTGAGAAATATCCTATTAACATGAAACTTCAAGAAAAATTATGGAACTGGCCAAACTGGAATTTGACCAGGATGGCATCCTTACTCTTGTGAATAGTGCCAGGAGATCTGTAATGATTTTAAGTAAGCAGGACTTAAAATAGCATCTAAATAGATTCTCTCTAGCTGCAATGTACCCCCTAGTATCATGTAGATCAAATGGAGCAGTAGAGACTTAGTGGTCAGAACAGCATCCACTGTTTTATCCACATTACTTCTGTAGCACCTGCTTTTCCTTAGAGTCCTCACCCAACTGATAACCAAGCCTGTCTGTGCAAGATGATCTGAGATCAGGGCTTCAGGGGATATGGGTGCAAAGAGAATTATCTTTCGACTCCCAAAATGAAAAACACAACTGGGGCACGGGGGGAGATTTTCAATATCAGTGGAAGGCCGGAAAAGGTATATCAGCACTATCAATGCCGAGAAAGACCAGCCAACTTTCCTCCTTAGATGAAAGTATTTTGCAGAGCCATTCCAGGAACACCTTTTTCCTTACCTCAGCAGATTCTCCTCCAGCAGTTTTTTCCGTTTTGGGGGTCGCCCTCGTCTCTTGCCTGTTTTCCCAGGAACATTTGGGGTATTTGTCTGGGCACCACTTCCCCTGGAACACAAAGAAAGGTCAGAAAGTATCTACAGAAGAAAGGAACTGTGGCTGGCAGGGGAGGAGAGGCAGAGAACAGCTGCTATGGGCCCAACTAAGGCAGGGATTAAATACAGCAGCCAAGTGGGCGGGGGAAGGAGGGTGGAGGGAGGGCGGTTGGACTCCCCGCAGCAGGGTTACTCCAAAGGACAGATAACTTGGCATGTGGTGGTAGTAGCAGAGGAATGTACCTATCTACTGGCCAATGTTTGTAGTGCCATGAAGGCAATGCGTGGATTTAGTTGCCTTGCATCAGCTTTAGTTACTGGTGTATCTGGCAGGCCACTGTCACCTTCCCAGCAACAGCAGAAGCCAAACAGAGTTTACTGAACTGAGATTTGTTGCTGCATAGTCCATTCCTTTCCACTTGCCCTGCTCGCTTCTCCCTCTTTTTTTGCCCGACGTGTGTGGAAATTAGGAAAACTTAGAAGCTGTTGTTACCTGTCTGAAGCCAGCTCTCCATTTGATTTCCCGGGCATTGGCTCTTCTTTGTACATACGTGTGCCATAGAAATACCAATAGAGGGCGCCATTGCTATCCTCACCCAGCGGTTCTACACGGAGGCTGTCTGCATCCAAGCCCTGCATTCAGTTGGGAGCATGAAGAGAGAGACAGTGACAAGTTGAAAAACAGCCGCACTGTCACTCAAAACATGCTGACATCTCTCCACAAACACCCCGCACTACACATCTGTTCTGATGCAGTTCTGGGAAGAGATTACTCTAGAGAAAAGAATACATTCCCTCTCCACCTAGGGAGAGATTTAGATTGGCATTTCTAATTTGCATGCTCTCTTTAGTTTTAATATTTCATTTTTGGTGCTCATGACAGTGAAGGTCTAATTAGCCCTGCAGAGTACGGGAGGCACTGTGGAAACTTCCCACAGACAGCTCTCCCAGTACACATTAATAATGAGGGAGGGGAGGGGCAGTGCTGCAGGACAGAACTGCACTCCTCACTCCCACAGTGCTGTCAATATCCTGGAAGGACTGCCACATAGTCAAGTCATGGTCTTTGTAGATACAGCCAATGAGGCCAATTTACATCGTGGCATGTGCGTGGTAAATACATCCATGACCAAGTCCCTACCACTTGCTCTGATCTTTTGTAATTCAACATAACCCTGGCTCCCGGGGTTGAAAAAGCATGACTATTTCACTGCATTAGCGCCAAGAATCTGATATTAAAAACATTTCTTTTTTATGACAATTACATCTCCAAACCTGTAAAATACCAAAAAAAAGGAAACCTAGGTCCCTCACCAAGAGGCTGGGGCTAAAAAACTGGAACAAACTCAAACTCTGGAACATTAATAGGAGAGAGAATGGGGAGACCCACACACCCACATTCCCACAGCTGGCTATGGAAACAAAGAGAATAAAGGACCTTAAAGAGAAGCTACCGTTCAAATCCCCAGCCTTTTCCTGCTCCCTAAACTGGCAGACTAGAAATGCCACAGTGGCACCTGCAAAACCCTGTCCCCGTGGTTGGAGACTGGCTGATGTGGAATGGCACGAAAAAGGAAAAACAGCCTCCATGAAGGCAAACATTTTCCTTTATTGCTCCACAGATTTCCTAGCTCCCTGTAGCTGCAGTTTTCCCCATCCCACAGCCGCTGTGGCCCAAAGCACCTTGAGGAGGTCGAAGACATCATCTGCATCAAGCCGGTAATCACAGAGGCGGTGCAAGATTTCCACACGGGTGCGCAGTGGTAGCTCTTGGAAAGTGGATTCCCGTAAGGGATTGGGTTTCCCTTCCTCCAGTTCCCAGCGGTAGTTGATAATGTCCTCAAGGTAGCTGTGAAATGTCTGCGACCTAATCAAGAGAACAAGTCCCCCCTACTGTAGGTTAATATGCTAAAGCCAGGACTTAGCAGGGGCAGGAAATGGACTGAGAAGATCCAGGCAAGGCTGAAAGCTTTGCCCTGCTGCCTCAGAACTCCTAAATGATATGTAGCAGGAAGTGAAGAGACTGCCACTGGGAAGCTTCCATGAATGCTTTTTAAGAACTGGGTCTTAGGACAGCCATAGCTAGTTAAAGCTGTGCAGCTAAGCTTGTGTCTTTCCTACCTACTGGCAACAATATAGGATTTACCATCATTTAAAACAGGGGTAGGGAACCTCAGGCCTGGGGGCCAGATGTGGGATTTGACCAATAAGGCTCAGTGTCCCCCCTTCTCCCCCCAGCCCATGCAAGCACTCCAGTCACCTGCTGCCCCACACAAAATCTACTAAGCTGGGCCCTGCTAGGCTCTGGTGTCTGACAGGAATGTGGGGAGTGTCTTTCTCTTTCTCAGCTGGGGGCCACTGACTGACTACTTCTCTCGTGTGTGCAGCCCCCAAATGATTTTTCCTATGGGTCAGTGGCCCCCAACCTAAAAAAGTTTCCCCATTTCTGATTTAAAGCCTCTTTATTTGTCTCCCTCCTTTTCATCACATTAAGTTCACATAAGGGCTGACTTAACTTTTTTTATAAAAGGAAGGTGCAAGGGAGCATTCGCAGACAATTCCCATCCTCTCCAGCCTTCCTCCACTTCAGCTAACACCACCATCATCGTCTACCAGGCTCAGCCTCTCTCGCTTTCCCCTGGCCATACAGCCAGGTCATTATAAGCTCCTGAGCCTGCTTCCAGATCTTTTAGAAAGTCAGACTTTTTGCTTTCCTAAAGGCCAAAACACTTGTCCATGCCTGGGCTCCTCTCCTTTTGAATGTTGTGTTCAACGCTATATTTCTTCGTCAAAGTTGAACGTCCAAACTCTCCAACCAGCAAACAGCATTGCTGGTTAGATTGTGGATATCCTCCTCTGTCCTCACTGACCAAAATGCAGCTACTCAGAATTATCTTCCATGCCTGCCTATCAGATCACATCACCCCCTTCTTTCTTTCCTCTCCCTACCATCTTAATCTCCTTTGCCCCTAATTCCTCACCTTAACCACAGTTTCACATGTAAACTTCTTTTCCCCATCTTACTCTGAAGCTTACTATAAAAAGTAGTGGTTCTGGTGTAACTGCTGCCCAGTCACACCTTAGGTTGCAGACTGTGTTTAGATAAATGAGTGTGCTTCTAGTTTTAGAGACAGCTTGTTCTGAGTGTGGAATTTTCAGTTTTAAGAATCTGGGGCTATGACTAGACTGAAGGCTTCTTTCGGAAGAAGCTTTTTCGGAAGAGAGCATACAAAAAACTTCTTCCGAAAGAAAACGTCTACACAGCAAAAGCGCATAAAAAAGCCATCTGCTTTTTCGAAAGATAGCATCAACACTGAATAGACGCTATCTCACATGTAAGCTGTGATTACTATGGACTGAGTGGCCACCAGGGTACTTGTGCTTTTTCCTCTTTCCTCTTCTTTCAAAAGAACTCCCTCTTACCTGTCCACACATGCCGTTTTCCAAAAGAGTTATTTCGGAAAAAGGCTTCTTCCTTGTCGAAAGAGGCTTACCAATATCAGAAAACCCCCTCTGTTCTTTCAAAAAAACGTGATTGAAGTGTGGACGTAAGTGCAGTTTTTCCCCCTGGAAAAATGGCCGTTTTCAAAAAAAAAAAAACCTCTCCAGTGTAGACATACCCTGAGTGAGATCAAGTACCGACTATCACAACCTTATTTGTTATGAGTGGTGCGGCTGCCTCACTCCTCTGACTTGCCAGCGTTCCAGAATTGTGCTCTGAAGCTTCAAATATGCCGTCCTCTCAGACATAAGAAGTTCATGAGTCTGAATGGACACTGCTGGATAACCATTCCCACAGCTCCTTTTTGGCATAAGCAGACTGCCCATGACACTGAAGGGATCTATGCCACAACTGCAGAATAGCCATGAACCAAGCAAATCTAAAAATGTAACCAAAAAAGCATTAAATCTTTACCACTCAGAAGGACGAACACTGTCTGTCTGGAGTAGGGATGTAAAATCCCATTTAATTAGTTAACCAGTTAAATATTAAGCTTAACCATTTAACTGACTAAACGGGTAGGTCCCCGCTCCCCCTGCCTTCCCACCATAGGCAGGGGGCAGAAGCCCCCTGTCCATGATGAGTGGGTGGCTGCTGCAGCCTTAACGGGTGAGGCTTACTGGCTAACCATTAACATCCCTAGTCTGGGGGAGGAAGATGATAGGAAAGAGGGGTCAAGACAGGATGGCAACCTGCAGGAGCTGATGCCACATCACTGATGGAAGAAACGCCCACCTGACAGCATCATACAAATGAATGAAGAGATGCCTATGTTCCCGCTCTGCAGATTACTTCACAAGGCTGTGTTTCATTCAGCTCCTCAAGTGGAAAATGACTTCTCTTTGACTCGCCCGATTTTCCTGAAGGAGTTTACCCGACCTCCAATAATACTCATGACAGATACTTGAATATGGTGGCTTTTGCAGCTCTGCCATTGCTATTTTCTGCCTATCATCAAAAAACAAAACAAAAACACCCCTCTATGCCTTTCTGAGTGTCTTTGTTCTGTCCCACTAGCAGCAGACAGCTCACCTTCCAAATGCAACATGACCTCCTTGAATAGAAGGAAATAGTTCAAATGACATGATAAAAGGATTATTTTTAAGGAAGAATTCTTGTGCCAGCTGAAGTACCTACTTTGTGGGATAAAAGGTGTACATTTCAGGGCCAAATTCAATTTCCAACATCCAATTGGACCTTTAAAAGTGGGCAGAAAAAAATGTGGGTACTGCCTTGGAAAACCTGAAGGCAGCATATCAGATTCCCTTTATAGGCTATGGGCCCCTAAAACTTCTATTTGATCACACAGAACACTTAAATGTTTAGCTCTTTGATGAAATCATCAAATAAGAGAGTAAGGCAATAATTTGATAAGCTTTTAAAACAGATGCCATGCCTGGACCCCATTTCCTGGAAATATGCTAACTGCATAAATATCTCAGACAACGTCCTTCTAGGCTTGAAGGAATAAAGCCACAAACTGAAGGTATCCAAATTCCACCCTCTTGAGTTCAAGATCGGATTGAATTTCAAGTCAGCACACCATCTAGCGAGGGCAGAATCTTAGGGGAACCAAAATGGCATTTCCAGGTTCCTGTAGAAGGAAGGCCCATGGGATCAAAAAGGAGCTGTCAGGAGTAGTATGGCTTTCTCTGTTCTGATTTTTCTGGCTATCTGAGCAAGAACTGGAAAAGAAAGAAAGGCACACATCAGAGATCAGAGCACTTGAATGAGAATGCATTGATTTTCCTTCCTCTCAATTTTATCCTTGCTCTCCTTTTTTCCCCCTACTCAGAGAAAATGAATCGATCCATGAAGTTCCCCATTTCCAAAAGATGATTTGAAGGACCTGGTCATTTAATTCACATTCCCTCTGAGGGCAAAGGTTGTTAACTCAACCAAATGGTTTGAGTTTGAGTTTTATGTAAGTGGCTAAAACTAGAAGTTTCTGCTGTTCAGCCCAATATCAGATGCCTCTGTTCTCAGGAGTGCTCCGTGTCTCCCTCATCAATCTGCATAAGTTGCTGCTGCGAGTTGGCACTTTGAATCAGGACAGAATGAGAATAGGAGATGGGAACCAGATGTCTCACAGCATTCCCAATAACCCTCAACTCCAGCCAATTTATATTTATCTTCCTCTCTATGGCTGGCCATTTCCCCCAGACAAGCACGAGTCCATATGTGGATTTCACAGCCTGTCAGAAAAACACCCATGGTTATTTTCACCTTTAGTATTTCTATTAATGGTTCTCCTCTGGAAGGGAATGGTTTCTGGAGCAGCCTCCCCTCCCCCCCTTTGGAGATGGAAGAACCTGCTCGGAGGATTATGATCTGACTGTGCAAGGACTCCTATTGGTGATCTCTAACAGATAAGGAATGTGTTTAGGTTGCAAGTTGCGCTGCCCAGTAACAGTGGGGTATCACAATAAGTCCTATAGATTTCAACTACTCTTACAACCCTAAGGTGTACTAGATTCCGTGTAAAGGTTGGGGAATGCTTGCTGGAGCTAATCCTAAACCTGAGTCTACTCTTTTGAGAATCTCTATAAGCTGTCTATATGGTTTGGAATCAATGCAGCAGATCATCTCAGTGGTTCCCAAACTTTTCGGCATCACGCCCCCTTTTTGATTTTTGAGAAACTCTCACGCCGCTTCCCCCATAGCAGCAAAACTTGGGGGGGGCCCGAATTGACGGGGGGGTGGGTCACCTTGTGCCCCCCCCCGGGAATTTCTTCACGCCCCCCAAGGAGGCACGCCCCCCAGTTTGGGAACCCATGATCTAGATATTGGGATTTGCATATTCCTTCTTCTGCGGTTATCAAAATCATCTTAACTAAGGCTTTGTTTAGATAGCATTTTTGTCAGCAAAACTTTTGTCAGTCAAGGGTCTGGAAAACACACCCCCTTGACTAGTGTTCCGTGTAAGCTGTGTGCTTGTCCAGCTGCTTAGGAGAAATTCAAATGCTACCTACCTGATTAGCAGAACGCCCACAGCTAGGTTTGTGTTTCTATTGGTGGTGCACACTTGTATATGCCTCGGGGCACACAGAAAAATTTAGTCCATACATGGATGCAGAAAAGATTAGAAAGATCGTTGCCCCTGACCAATGTAAATTTCACTGACAAAAGCACCTGTGAGGATTGCACTATATTGGTGGAAGCTGCTTTCTCGTCAACACAGCTACTGCCACTCGTTGGGGGTGGTTTAATTATGCTGGTGGTAGAGCTCTCTCCCACTGGGAGAGAATAGACATTACAGTGGCACAGTTGCAACAGTATAGCCATGTCATTGTAAGGTCCATAGTCTAGACATAGTCTTAGAGAAAAGTTCAATTGGCGGAGACAATGCTAAGCCAAATTGCAAG